GCTCGGCCGTTATGGGGGCCGGCGGCGTGACTGAAAAGCTGTGACTTCAGAAAGAAAACCGAATTCTGTGGTGGACATACTTCGCTCAAACCTTTCTAGTTCATGGTAACTAGGAAGCTAGAGGAACTCATTATGTAGCTGCCTTAAATCATTTTTGCAGTGCATGTGGTCCTGAGAGTTGCTTTCATATCAGTTAATTCTGGGCTAGAATAAACGCACCAAGTTTTAAAGATACTCTATCAGGTGCCAGGGAGAAGAGAATCTTTCCATTATTGTTCTTCATTTATTCTTACACTGTTTTCACTGTTCCTTTTGTAATGCAAGCTGTGACTTAGAAAATCCTTCCACAATAATTGGAATGTGAATTCTGGTTACAGCTGCAAATATATACAGAAGCCTTATTCTAGAGCATTTTGTATCTGCGAAACACTGTTCAACAAGTCAGGAAACCATCACAAAACTTCATCTTTCTGGGAGGCATTACATTCTGTCAAAGTAAGACTCCTTTCAGTTATAAAAGGCCTCCTGCAATCTCTTTTTCCCTGAAGTCGTGGCTTTTGCAGCATCTCCTTAACTGCTTATCTGATGCAAAGCTTCAGAAAGTTGAAGCGGGTATGCCTTTGCTACTTCTAGCTCTTAGGTCTGAGCCATACAGGACATGATCAGAATAAGACTTTATTTCCTCATCAGTTACGTTTCAAACTGAAGTGGCTAACAACGTCTAATGACAGGAATGACTGGAAAGTTTTTATTTTCTAGTGACTTCTTTCAACTCATTAGAAAAGATTAAATCTTTCAAAGATAACACTGAAAGTTTTTGAGACCAGGATGTTCCTTTAGTTTCAAGAGAATCAAGCCTAAGGAGATGCAAAGATTAGACTGTAGCACAAGTCACACTGAGTTTAAATACTAATTCATATTGCTTGTAAAGGATACGGAGGACACCCAAGCACTGGATTTTTTTTTTCTTCACAGGGAAATATAGCGACAGTGATGTGAATATCCTTCTCTCACACAATTCTTTATGTGAAGTTTATGCAAATAATATGTAAGACATATTACTGCAAAAATGTATACTATCTAGGTGGTCACTGAAAACCCAGATAAGCAACTAGATCAATAATAAAATTAGTAATTTTAAATATTGCTAAGGATGATTTGCTAAAAGTAAGACTGATACAAATATGATATACACATTATCTTTTCTTTTATTGTTTTACAGATTTTTCCAGGTATTTTAAGATAAGTCTGTTATCATGGCATATATCAGGTATATTTTGAAAATGTCATAACTTGACTTTTTTTAATATGTTGCTTTGTTCTCTATAGTATTTATAATATGTTCAGTTATTTTTTGATGCAAAAACGTGTTTCCCCAGTTCTTAGGTCAAGCTCTGCCCTAATCACAACCAGGTGGCTGATGTCTGTATAGACATCAACAAAAGCCACTTTCTTAGTTCAGCCGAATAGGTCAGTGCTTAATACGATATTCTTTTAATTCCAGTCCTACATGGAAGATCATCTGAAAAATAAGATCCCCTAAAATTCTAACTGTGACTGCAACTAGAATTTTTCCTAGGTTATAGAAATGATGTGCATCTTCTAAAATTAGACTTAAATCATTCTCTACCTGCTAGTACCACTCTGGGTTCGGCACCATAGTCATTGAGAATCCTACAATGAGCCAAACCCTTCAGCTATTTATTGCAAAAGAGTAACCTAGCCTCAACCTTAAATCTTACCTAAATCTTAACCAGGTACATCCGTGCTTGTTCCAA